CTGAAATGGGTCTATTGATAAAGATTTCATCAATTTATTTCCACTAGGAAATATTAACATTTAAAAACAATATATAATCTATTATATATTATTATCTGTTTAATCTAAATTCTTATAAAAATGACTACATTAAAATAACGATATTATCTAAATAAAATAAAGAATTAGTAAAATTATAGGTAAGTTTAATATAGAGAAAAGTTTATTCTATATACAAACTTATAGTTAGTAGAGAGTTCAAAATTTGAATATTTATTTCATATTTAGTATTAAATTAATTATCAGCTAATGTAATTTTAAAATCTAATAACTTACTTTAGCATTATAACAAGAAATAACGAAAAAATAACGAATTATTATTTTTCAAGTAACAGTAACAATAACATTTTTTGAAGTAACGCGCACAATCCTGTTTATAGATACATATTTATACATATTCATGCATGAAAAATTTTTTACTGGCAAAGTTAAACTAATTAGAATTTTAGAGTAGCCCTTCAGACTTTTCTGACGATTCTCTTCGATAAAGAAAACAAATTAAAATCAAGTCATACATAATGTTAGGTATATGTATAGCGTATCAGGTAAATATATACAATGCGTGATACTTTGTGACTACATGTATTTTTCTCGAGACTAACCGGCTGAATAGAATCTCGACAATGAGTGCAAGCGAATCCGTGAGTCAACTCTTTTCGGAATCTGTTGATAACGACAAAATTTTTACGATTGGAGTCACTGTGGACACAGGTATGAAATTATTCATGAACATATTCATGAGATAAGGAGAAATCCGCGCGCCGATTCTCTTAAACATAACCTACAACAAAGTCCTACAATAAATGATTTTGTTTACGCAGGTTTTGAATGGGAAGCAATTGACGAATGCAAAGAGAAATTGGGCAAAGATGTTCGGGTGGTTAAGCAACGCGGAAGAATCTATTTTAATATTGATTGGGACGAATTTCCAAAGGTCTCTCTTCTATACAACTCAGATTATCTTTTTAATGTAGGTGCAAGAATCATAATATTTATGTTTTGTCACACATATTACAGGTTCAAGAAATGAGATCGATAGATCACATATTCATAGTAGCTGAGAACGGAAGTTTATCGTTTAGTAATGACAAAGAATCAGACTTATTGCACATAAGAAGTTATAACCTGGACATACTTTCGAACTCAGATAAAATATGGAAGAAAACTCTTGAAGCATGGAAATGTGCAACAAGTTTCAAAGGAAAACTTTATCCAACGACTGAAGAATATGTTGAAGCTAAAAAGGAAGATCTAGTAGCCAAAACAGAGATGTTAGAAATGCGTAACAAAGAAAAAGAAAAAAAAGATCCCTATGATTGGAATATATCAGAGATAAAAGAAGAGAAAGGGAAAAAAAGGGGTCAAGATCCTTTAAAATCCCAAGAGAACGATATACTCAAATATAGAGTAACATGTGAGAGGAGTGGTAAACATGCAGTTGAATCTAAGGATGTTGCTAGGGTTATCGGAGAGGTATTACAGGACAAATTTCATTGGTTGGTTGACTTGTCCATGTATCATCTAGAAATTGTCTGCAAATTGATAGATGGTATGATAAATGAGAATTAATAGATTAAAGAGAATTTTAACAATTTTGAAATGTACATATGAAGTTTTATAATAATACATACCTCCCAGAATCAATTATATATGAGACAAGCTGAATGCTAATTACTTCTAAATATTTCAGATCAATTAACAACGCATTTACGAGTAACGCACAAATCCAAGCATCACAGAAATATCATAAATTTTGGACCAACTACTCTTAGATCAACTATATGTTACAATTTACTAAAATTGGCAAATCCCAAGCTAGGAGATATAATAGTAGATCCTATGTGCGGAGGAGGTTCTATTCCTATAGAGGTATATTGCATGTTTACAATAATAAAATTAATAGTTCATAAAATTCTATTCAAAAAATTTTAGGCAGCACTAGCTTTTCCACATTCATATGTCTTATGTGGCGACAATGATTCCAGAGCTACAGATAGAACAAAATCAAATATGGATGCTTCAGCAGTTACATGTAAAATAGATCTCGTACAGTGGACTGCTTCAAAATTGCCATTCAAAGATTCTTTTGTCGATATTATTGTTACTGATATGGTATGGAAGTTAATCATTAAAAATTTTGTTCCAATATAATTAATTTTTACATATTTTTACTTTTTCATTAAAAATGATCATTTTTAAAATAATCTGCAGCCTTTTGGTAAAAGAAGTGGGAATAAGTCATACAACAAAATTTTTTATAAAAAATTTTTGCTAGAATTTGGTCGTATAGTAAAATTAAATGGACGAATAATTCTACTCACTTACGATAGAAATAACTTTAAAGACGTAAGTTTTATTATAATTATTTATAGCAATTAAAATATGAAAGAAAAGAACTAAAGTAAAATATTTTACTATAATCTGAAAACAAATTTTATTCTTCATTTTAGGCTCTGATGGCAGCTGGTGATTTATTCTGGGTGATAAAAATAATTGGTGTAAATGTGGGAGGTCTTCCAGCTGCAGTTTATGTTTTGAACCGTACTCAAGTAGCCTTTGATTCATTCAAACCGCGTATGGCCAAACAGTATAGTTATCAGAGAGACAATAAAGACTCATCTTATTCGACTAAAAAGTCTTTGTCCAATTAGATATTTTATTTTCATAAGTATTGTGATACAAGTATTGTGAATTCTATTATATTTTTGTATGAAGAAATTAATAGAGTTTATTTAGCATATATTTAGCATACAATCATGTTTAGTTTTTTTAACGAATTATTTCCCAGATAATCCTAATATATATGTATACATAAAATTCACAAAAAGAATTTTCTTCTGCTTGTCTCCATTTCGTGTCTGCGACCTTGTATAATCCACTCATAATCGCCATATTTACTGTCGAATGTTCCATGTTGTAGTGATCTTAATTTCAAAGTAAATCGTGGACCTAGTTCTCGTAATCTCGGTTTTCCATTCTTGAGATTAAACTCATATCTGTAAGTGTGTTCAATTAGATTTAAGTACAACTGAGATATAGTTTACATGATGTTAATTCTAAGTTTTACAAGTTCCATGTGATAATAAAATATAAAAAATAAAATTTATATAAATTCTTTAACTTTAGAGAGATGTTTTTATATATAGAAATTACATTTTAATAAAATATTTTAAGAAAATTTGTAGAATTTTTAAAAAATTAAAAATATAAAATTACCTATGATGTCTAAAAAATATATAATCTCTTTGATTATGAAATGTCACAGCTCTCCTTCCTTTAAATTCTGGCTGATAATGAAACAAGGCTCCTAGCATTCTGCCAATGGTAAAACCTAAGCGTGTGGTGAAATTATTGAGAATAACTTCTGGCCTATGTTCTGTGATCTCCTTATGGTTGCGCTTTAAATCTGTCGTTAGTTTGACATTACTGAGTTTGAAGTGTGCAGTAGGACCATCTGGCAGGTGAATGATTAACATTCCATCTAACAATTGTTTAAGGAAAACTATTTAAAAAAAATTTAAAAATAACTTAAATTTAATTAGCTTGATATTTTATATGATGTATAATTGAAATTTATCAATTATTTTTTAAATAAAGCTTCCTAAAAGAATTTCTGATGTCTAATAATTTTTTATCAATTTATCTACAAAATATATTATACAACAGATAAAGTATTAGCTTATTACAATATTTATAAATGACTCTAAATATGAAGCGTCACTAACGGTCTGAATGTTAAGATGAACTATTATATTCATATAAATGAATTAATTTCAGAAATGATAATTGCGTGCGGATATGGTTCAGACTTTCAACACAATTAATCTGAAATATTAATAATCCTCTCAAATTTCCCAAATTAATCTTAAAAAACTGTAATAAACTTATTGCGAAAAATATTGCCTCAGCCAGGAGTTTCTAATCTTATTTATAAATGACTTATTATATACTTATTATATACTGTCAGTTTATAATAAGGATACTTGGTTTGCATTGATCTTCATTAACAATGATTATATCTGTAAAGTTTCGGGCAGTAGCACTTTTGACTATTTTTTTAACGCCAGAGCGATTTCTATATAGCGAAATAGAATTAGGTATCATCCTTGTAAGTTCTCTGCCAAAAATTCTTGTTTTTCTATTTGGATTATCAGCATATGTAATGAGGACTTTAGGTTCATACTCTTGCCTATAGTAGGCAGCAAATTCATCATGTTCACAGTCAAACTTGAGCTCCTCATTCGCCTCATCATCCAGATTACCTACTATCATAGTCTCATCTTTCTCTCGTAGGCTCTCTAAAGTATGTGGCACCTGTTTCGGAGCGCCCGACTGTATCCTCGCCTTCTTCGTCGCTTTCTTTGCCTTCGCTCGTTCTTTCATCAATTCCTGGCATTTCTGATATCTTACAGCTTTGCATTTGATGTGATTGAAGTTACTATCAGATGGCAGCAAAACTTCCGAAGCTTTATCCGTTGATGTACTCGGTTCATCATTTGCCATTACATTTTCCTCCCTGTGTCGACTCAGAGGATTCTTTCGCAAAGTTTTAATCTTCATCTTGCACAATTCTTTGTATTTTTCTTCTTTTTTACTCTGTATGGATTTCTGACCCACTTATAAAATCACAGTATCATGCGATGAAATGGAAATCAAGAAAATCCAGATGAATGCTTCCTCAAAAATCAAACGAGAGGTCACATGTAAACTTTTGTTAATTAAAATTAAAATAACCGTTCGAGAATGCACTTTCGCATCTTTAACCTATCAATTCTTTTAAAACTATCACATGTTTACGACCACATGTATGAGATTCCTAGCGCAGTGCCGCCAATATGAGAAATCATAGGGTAAAAAGGAAGCGCTTTTATCATTTAGTTCTTGTACTGATAAACTAGATGATAAAAAAAATCTACAATCAGTATTTATGACGAAAAGGATAATTAAAAATAAAAATATAATTTTTGATCTTATCATTTACATTCTTTCTATTCTTTTCATAAGCATAACACACAACATATCCGTACAAAAAAATATTTCTCTTTTCCAAGAGTATGTCTCGTTGTTTTTTCAAATTATTTTTTTACAAGTGATATAACAATGTGTATACGTTATTTTATAAAATAAGTAAAATTTCTTACATGATGAAATAATGCAAAAAATTCAAGATAGTTGAATAACTTAATCAAATTAACTACTTTTATCCTAATTATGTTTTATATACATATCACTCTCTCTTATAGTTATAGATCTTATGTATGGGAGTGATTCACTTGCACACTGTAACAATTGCTCACTGTCAATCACAGCGATTTCTGCATGGTTTTTTTTTCTAGTGCAGTAATTGGTTTCTGTGCAATCGACTCGTGTGCAATTGATATACATTCTTTATGTACCATCATTTAAATTTCAAAATTATCCACAATACAAAAAATACTGCTATAGAAAAAACAAATAAATATAAAATATAATAATTGTGGCCTGCCTTTGCTAAACGCAAAACACGTGCTACAGAACCAGATAAGGAACCACTTGTTCTATCAAAATCGTCATCCTAAAATATAAATTTGTATTATTTACTATGTATAAAATAATATGCATAATAATATGTATAAAATAATATAAAAAATTATATCAACGTCTTAAAAAAACTCAACTAACCATGCCTTTTAGCATTTTATCTTGGTATTTGACTTCTGTGCCAATGTCAATAGATAATGATTTTAAAGCATGAATTTTATCCTTCAGTTCTTCAGTCATCCTTTCATTCTCGTCTTCCATAGTATTGCGAGATGTACTTGGTAATGACTCATAGCCATAACCTCCTGAAAAAGTAAAAATTATGTTTAAAATAAGAATTGATGTATTTGTTAACAAGTGGCAACTTACCTGAATGAGAACGTCGCATTTTGTTAGCAATCTTGATAGCTCAACAGATGAACAAAGATACAGAAGAAAATTATTGTCTCACAAACCCTTTTAAAAATTGAAAAATATTTCAATCTGTTTTTATCTAGAAAAATACATATTGTGAGGTTAGTTCAATTATTTATGCTTATATAAATATAATACTTGTAATACAAAATAAATTTATACTCTGTTAAATAAATGATAAAAATTATTTAAGTAAAAATAAAAAAATATTTAAAGTAAAATATAAAGTAAAAAATGTTTTCCACGCAGGTAAATTATATTAAACGATGATACTTGAACTGAAAATATTCACGTATAAATATAACCTCAAATAGACAACACACATTCGTATTAATCATTTAAAATATATGTTCAAAACTTTTCAATACGATAACATTTTTAATTTACCAATTAAATAGAAAATGCAGACAGCCGGAGAATAGAAAATATGTGTCAATATGTGTCAACGTCACGCTCGTAGTGCATCGCGTGACGTATATCGATGAAAGGTATCGATACTATCGGATATTGATTGAGAATAGGTCTGTTTTCTGTGGCTGAAGTGAATACTTTTAAAACACTTTTAAAACTTGAAGTGAGATAGATATATCTTTGATATTTATTGAAAGTGAGAAAGAGAGTGCTAGTCTAGTGCAGGAACAGAAAATAGATCAAATATAATACAAGCACTAATTGTTATAACTAAAAAGTTATAGATTACCAATAAGAATAATTATAATTTTAAAATTTAATATTATTCTGATGTTTCTTTTATTATAAATTAATTTTTTTACATGTTAGTAAAAAAAATT